TGCGCGACGTGTTTCATTCGTATTCTTCTCTCTCTCTCTCACTCTCTCGCTCTCTCTCTCTCTCTCTTGTACAATAGCTGTTTTTCCCAGTTTCCCAAAGGGATCTTCCTGAAGCTAAAATATACTATATATAGATGTTAATTTACTGAAATAAAGTGTGTGTAACAGTTACATTCTTCTTTGGCTATTAACCATTGGATGCAAAACGATTCTGAGAGGAATAACCTCACAAATAGCTAACAGAAGCCTTGTTAGATAATCAATTAGATCAACTACAAGGATATGATCACCTATTCCTTCCGTCGCAGTTATACTCTTACCTGTCACTACTCTGCACTATTTTTTAAAATAATGAAATAATCTGTAATGAAAGAAGGTAATGAAAATATATTTCAAGAACCTAAGCTTGAAAAAACTAATGAAACAATTGGTGTTAATGGTGAATCTACTCGTTATTAGAATTCTATCAATCACAGCTTTAACACCCCCTCACCCCCACTGTCCAAAACTCCCAAATGTGTACTACGAAAAATTCGCAGTAACGTCGTTCGCGGAAATGTCTTGTCACCGCTGATGAAGTTTTAAATTTGACACGTCGGCGTCGATATAGTAATCGGCTAATACCTATAGGAATGAAACGTCGCGCAACTCTATGTGATCTTTCCTTCTAGAGTTATACATCTTTTCAGATTGGCCACTGGAAATCTCGATTTATCATTGTTCACTTTGTAAAAATCGTCTACAAATGTATATTCGAAATATACTAGCGATTTTGTTATGTTTTCAGTTTCATAGTTAGCTGGTTACATTGTTGTATCTATCTACATGTATTATCTCACTAAATTTTGTATCAAATCCATACTTTGACACCTTCATAACATTTTAATTCTCGATATCCATAGTCTATTCAGTTATTCATTCGACCTTTTGTAATGATCCCTTCGCTCAAAGTCCAACCTCAAATGAAAAAAAATTCTGGTCTGCTTTCGGTCAGATATTGCATTTTAATCCTTAGCATGCTTCTTGTACAACTAAAGCTGGCTCTGCGAAGATATGTATGTGCGAAGCACAAATACGACTGCTGTGGATTTACAAACAGACATATAGCACCAACAGCGAGAGGAGTAACAATAAGAAAAGAAGAATACCAAAATGCCTTTTATGGCACAGAATTGTTCAGGGTAGCTCTTTATTGCCAAGCCTTTTATGCCTGAGAAGCCCGATCGATGATGATGATGATGATGATGATGATTGTTTGGGGGACACGTGTCATTGCACTAACTGGAATTCAGAAGTTCTTGAAGATGAATCATACCTTTAAAGAACTATCAAAGAGAGCTTGTTGATGAATATTCATACAAAACAAAAGAAAAATGTATTCACAAAAAGCTTTGACCTAAAAGTATTTTGATGATGTAGCACGCCGTCCACGTATAAGTAGAAAAAAAGAAAGTTGATTGATTTTTATTTCAACAACAGCAGTTTTGTACAGAAAACAGTAAACTTTAGTTTTACAATAAGTTCTTTTTATTCTATCTATTTTAGTTTTGTTGTGTTCTACATGTATTTTATTTTATCTCTTATTTTTTTCTGCGTTCAAAATCAACTATCGATTGTCACAGTCGACTGATGGTGTTGAATAAAGACGAAACGTTCCTCACAGAAGCTATATTTTTCATTATTATAAAGATGGTTTATACCTTATTATCCATTTTAAAATTTTTCACCTTAAAAAATAGTTTAGTTGAAATAATGATGATGACTCTCTATGGCGAACTGCATGGTATGTCTTTATATTGAAAATACATAGATGATATATTAAGTCGTTGGTAAAACAAATGCAAGAAAGATTAAAAAGAAATTGATAAGAAAATGTTGATAATTTTCATTGTTTTTTCTATATCTCTCTTAGATTATCGAGATTGTAATATTACTATTTATCTTGGATTATTTTGCATTCAATTTCTGCCAGATCAGTTTATCAGTTTTTGAGAGAGTAAGTAGTTATTTGATTATGAAACTATAATATTACCCTAACATTTAGCATAGGATCAACAATGATAATGACCTAACAAAGAATATTGTCTCGTCCTAATATTTCCTGAAATCTGCTATGAAGATTTTCGTTTTAGCTGTCAAGGATAGTGCGCGAAACACTTATAATGGAATGTCCCTGAGTCTATTTTGGGTAAACGAGCTCAAAAATATGTCATAGCGTAACTAGGGACCATCGAAACGTCAGTTATGAGACAGATTGCTAAATATGAACTTACATCTTTTTCTTTCCTTCGCTTGTAAATTTTATCTCGTTGTAGCAAACGATCATCGTCCTTTATTGTAATAATTTTTTCTCCGCAGTTCTTTTTCTTTTTATCTTACTGTATACTATACCATGCCCATTGTTCTTCTTTTGTGCAGGTGCGTATGATAAGCTATGAAATAAAAAGCTTCGTTTTCTCAATGTATTTTGTTCTACACTCTAAGAATTGTTGCATGTTGAGATAAATATTTGTATCTGTAGCTAGCGTGCAGTTGACTAGCAGTTGCCGCATTTTGCGGATAGAGAGTATGCAGTGCAGTAAGTAGTGCTACACTGGTCTAATGGGGTTACACATCAGACATAAAGGAATCCGTACAAAATGTGAGCTGTGTTGATCCGTGCAAAGAAGACGAAATACTAAACGCATTCGTAGAAGAAAGAATGTGTTCTAAGTCATTCTAGTCTTGAATAGTATTGACCAGAACTGATTTTTCGACGTGCTAGCTATAGCTTACTGCACAAGGTATAGAGATTGGAGATCTTACGAGCTTCAAATACGAATCTGTCGATTGTTTTTCATACGTAGATAGTCTAAAGTTTTCTTTAGACAAGTAAGATGCTGATTCTAGGTGGTCTTAGCATAGTATTGAATTTTCTTGAAGTCTAAGGACCAGTGCCAGATGAACTGGAGTAAACTTGAAAACACATACGTAATTGGTCACGCTGAGTTAAGCGGTTACATTTGTTGGCGGAATAAAAACCAAGTTTTACGAAATTAGGATTTAGAGACTACTTAATTCTACTTAATGTTAACAAGTTAACAGTGGGCACAGAAACCATCGAACAAGTTGAAAACTTTGATATTAAACATGCAACAGTAGCGGTAATTTACCGGTTTACCGTTCTGCCGGTAACTATTACCGTTGCATGCCTATTCAGTATATAGTGAAGTTTTTCCGCTAAATATAGTTAAGAAATCAAAAAATCGAAAAACTATGTTTTGTCCAAAAGATTTCATTCGGAAAACGATTGAGTTTTGTAAAGAAATGTAATAAGTAAAAACGAGTGACAGCAAATGCCGTAGAATGGACTAGTGTAGAACTCCTCTATTTGTTGACAGTGGAACGGATGTTTGGTCACTTACCACTGTCACATTGCCTATTTTTAATTAACACATTCTTCCGTACTTATAGGGTCGCCTCTCTGTTTATACAAGCTGTACGGTTTCTTCGCAAGCATGCTATTCTGCTTGTCGTCTGTACCTTTATGTTCACATAGAATTTTGTTGTTATCAAATTTCCTGCATGACTAAGTGTGAAATATAGTAAGCATCAAATGTCCATTAGTTTGACTATGAATCTTTTAATTTTATACAAAAATAAGCAAAACTGGGTTATTTCATATAATATATGTAGATTTTTACTGGATATTTGGAACTTTTTTGAAAAACAAATGTTGCCATGACATTTAGCGTGATCGATTATCTATGTTTGCATTCGTTGTCGGAATTACCACATGTAAAGAAATAGTGATCCGGACAATCTCAGGCAATCCGATGCCACGGCTAAATCACGAAAAACTAATAGTTCGCTGAGTTTTGTGTTCTGGAGAGGACACTTTGGACTATCTATCTATGAACAAAGACAGACCTATTTCTATGTCAGTTTTCAGAGATCCAAACTGATTTTCCAAAGATCTGCTCAAAAACTCGTTTGAAAGTGCTTTTAATAAATCTTTTTTGCTTGTGGAAAGTCTCGGGTGTCTGTTTTCGATTGCTTAAAACCGCAACGTTCTATCTTACGCTGTTACTGAGTTATTAAAAAGTGGTAACCTGCACTGTATTTTGGCGCCGATAATATTAACAATGATTTATTTAGGTGAGATAAACGAATGATGCAATACCAAAAGATTGGAAACACAGATATTGAAATATCTCGCGTAATTCTTGGTTGTGGCAATTTTGGTGGTATTGGTTCGATTCCTTCATTGTTTGGTCAAGGAGAAAATGAAGAACAGGCACATGAAATTTTAGATGCAGCTGTTCGTCTTGGTATAACAACATTTGATACGGCTGATGGCTATGGGGGTGGTAGAAGTGAAACATATATAGGAAATTGGCTGAATAAATGTGATGAAAAAGTTAGAAGTAATATTGTATTGAGCTCAAAAACCTATAATCCAATGTTTATTGGTGATAGTAAGGGATTATCAAAAGAAAGAATTTCAAAAAAAATTGATGGCACACTACACCGTCTTGGAATAAAGCAACTGGATATGTATCTTTCACATGAAATGGATAATGAAACACCATTGGAAGAAACACTTAGTTGTTTTAATGAATTACAAAAAAGTGGAAAAATACGTGCATACGGTGCATCAAATATTGATTGTGAACAATTAGAAAAAAGCATATCTATTTGTGAGAATCTTAATTTAAATAGGTATGAATGGGTACAAAACTCAATGTCATTATTAAATTATTCAGAAGCAGAAAAAGTGTTACAAATATGTTCTAAGTATGGCCTTGGTTTTACTCCTTATAGTCCATTAGCCGGTGGATGGTTAACAGGAAAATATCAACAAGGTCTTGATTATGAACGTGGTTCGCGGATGACACTACGACCTGAACCATATGGTAATTTTGTTAGACATCAAGATAGTATATCAGATGGCTTAAATTCAATGAGAAAAATCAGTAAGGAACGATTTGGTAATATAAGTATTGCTGGCTTAAGTTTAGCTTGGTTACTTAGTGATCGTCGAATAACAGGAATAATTATTGGACCTCGTAAATCAGAGCACTTTGAACCTATACATGAAGCATTAAATACGCGTCTTAATGAAACTGATCGAATCGATTTAGCAAATCTATTTCCATTATTGTAAACTGATTTGCTTGTTTATGCCCGCTTAGTTTGAACTTCATTTCTTTTTTCGTTTGAACTTCTCAAGAGACATTTCATAACCACATCAAGCGTTCTCCGTAATAGCAAGCCCTTCTGAGTAGCTAGTGATGCTGATCCTGACTCGCTTGTCCATCACATTCAGTCTGTATGTCTACAATGTCCGTGTGAAAACGCAAACCAGAAAAGGAAAATAAAACCACAGTCGAGTTTTGGACATTCATTGGAATAATTCATGCTCACTAGCATTTATTCTATAAATCTTTCTTTTTTTGGTTTATTTCTAAAAAAATCTTGCACTTTATGCTTTTAGTTTTTTTCTTAGTACTATACAAAATTAAATATTTCTCGTTCATCACATGGTTGAAATTCTAATCTATAGTTTCAAAAAAATCTAAATAAATGACTGTAGATTCTACGAAAACTTGCAGTAACAAATGTGCAGTTTTGGATGCTAAATAAAAAAATTCTGATCATTAGACAGTGCATTGAGTTAGCCACGATGTGTAGTCTTCAACAGGTTGGTTTTTTTTTTTTACACAAACATAGTACCATTTTTCTAGACCCATCTCTTTTCGTTTTAATACGATCTGATTATAGGATAATACAATTTTCAATTCATTGGAGAAGTTCACTATTCTAGCCACAATAGGTGCTGCTCTGGTTTTCAATCAATTTCTCAGGTCATGACCATGAATCAGAACGTTTTACTCTTGTTCATACTTTTCCGATTTAGCTTTCACATAGTCATCTCTAGGGCTGTGACAGTTACCAGTTACCGTTACCATCGTTCCCCGTTACTAACGGTAACTATAATTAACATAAAACTAATAAGCATCGCTCCTCCTTAGTAGAGGTAATGGTAATTGATATACAGTAAGAAATCCTTTACACTCAACTGCATCTGGTCAGTTGACGCTCTCAACTGTCAACGTGAAAAACTATGTCGTTAGATGTCGTTATAGTGTAGTTCAGTATCAGTATGATGACTTGTAGACCGAAAAGCATTGAGAAAAATCAT